TCTCGGTAAAAGAGAACATTCTGCCTAAGAAGCTTCTACTTTTGATCTTCTATTAAAAGGAGTTCAAGATATCAAGTTCCAGATACAAGGGGGGAAAATAGGCAGTGCTTAGATTGAATGGGGTTATAATTCAGAAGAAATGAACTTTTTAAATTTGAGGGCTACATTTAGCTTTTGAGGAGGATCCCAGTGTAAGCACTTGGAAACAAAACAAAGCCATTCAGGAAAACAAATTATTTAATGTAGTTAAAAAAACATGATTAATGTAGGCCACTCTGTCTTTGTAAAAAGTCCTTTCTGTTACATTAAATTTTCCATTTGGTGGTAATGGGGGGGGGGGCTGCTCTGAAGGCCACATGTAGCCTAGGGGAGGGTCGTCCAACTGCTGTTCCACTTAATAGATCTCAGCATTTCACTAATTTAAAAAGTTGTTGCTTTTTTTTTTTTACAAATATTGTATGCTGTGAGGAGCTATTAACTGTAAATGGTCTCCGGACGGTTCAATAATTTAAGTGCAATATAGGTTTGGCTATTTTGATATGGATACTAGAAAAGTTAGGTAGGGCTAATTTAAATTACTTTGGATTTAGAATTAAAATTAAATCAAGCTTTGGAAGAGTTATTCTTGGGAATAAGCATTGTACTGCCGATGTAATGTAATAGGAACAAAGCCCTTTGTCAGAGAATTGGAGTGAAAATGGAAGAAAATCAACTGGAAATTTCAGAGAAGGAGTTCACCTCTCATGCTAAACTTCTATGTGTTTAACTTTGGTCTTGACTCAAATCAAAATTGGCTAGGTTTACAGAAGATTAAGCCATGGATGATAATTCAAAAACCGCAACACAGCGGTACCTTGGTACTCAATGTTAATTGGACCCGGGACTTGCGATGAGTACCAAATAAATTTCTCCCATAAGGAATAATGTACAGGTAGTCCTCAACTTACAACAGTTCATTTAGTGACTGTTCAAAATTACAATGGTACTGAAAAATGTGACTTTATGACCATTTTTCACAATTACGACCGTTACAGCATCTCCATGATCATGTGACCAAAATTCAAATGGTAAATGGTTGGCAACTGGTTCATATTTATGGCCATTGCTGTGTCCCAAAATCATGTGATCACCTTTTGCAAAGTCAATGTAGAAACCAGATTGTGGGTTATTAGCTTATCAACTGCAGGAATTCACAACAACTGTGGCCAGTAAAGGAAGTAAAATAGGGCAAAACTCACTTATCAAATGTCTCACTTATCACCAGAAATTTTGGACTCAATTGTGGTCGTAATACAAGGACTACCTATAGTGAGTCACAAGGCAGCTGACACTGACAAGTTCTAGCTTGTGTGTTGAGTACCCTGGACCCTCCGCCTATTGTTTCTACAGCTACCACCTTGTGAACAGGGATGACAGGATGTCTGGCTCAAAGCCATGCAGGTTTTTCAGCTTTAAGTACTAAGGCAGTTGCAGTTAAAACCCTTATTCTTAGATGTGAATTCAGGAATTTTGTAATTATGTACCTCAAAGGAAGGAGGAAGTGCAAGGTAGATCAAGTGTGCAATGTGCAAATAATTCTCAAAGTTTTGCAGCCCCTTGGAAATATCACTATCAAGTTCTGACAGTAAATAAATTATGAGTAAAATGTGGTTGTAAAAACATACCAAAATAACAAGCAAATATTCTAATTGCATATTCCTGTTTTAAATGAATTCAGTGGTGGAATTTTGGTATTTATCTGCCCACTCAAGATTTGAATGCTCAAGCAAGTATTTACAACAACACAACCAGTTGTGATGGAAATATGAAGGACATTCATCTACCTTGCCACATAACTCACAAATGAAGCCTTTCTTATGTAAAATTTGTATGGCCTTGTTCTGTCACAAATATGACATAAATAGAAAAGAGTGTCATCTGATAAATTGGTGATTGGGGGAAAAATGAGGCATTAAGATTGTGGATACAAAACTCTTGTCTATCTTGGGACAAAGTAGTGTAGACTTCTTGGAGACACAAGTATGAGTATGGCTTCCCTCTCTAATATATTTATACACTATAGCCCATGTGTTGTGATAGTTTAATGTTGCTTGTCAACATTAGCCATAAACAGAGCATGAGTCATGAGTAGCATTTAGTACCATGATGGCATATATCTTTTCTGTAACCCTGCCCAAGTTCTTGACATCATGAATGATTTGGTGCCTGAATCACTTGTTTGTAAAGTTGAGAACACTGTACTCGGGTATCTTTGTTCCATCCAAAACCATAAATTATGTGAATGCATAGTACTTAAGTGCTGGTTAAACTCTTGCATAATTTATTGTGGAGCCCATGCTCATACAATTCTGAGAACCATTCACTAATGGGCAGGATGGGACTGGATTATTTTTATTTTAAATGTTAAAATTCAAGTCCAAATCAAGTCCAAAATAGGAAAAATCCTTTAAAATGGTCATAAAACAAATATGCCAGCTATTTCTACTTTATATTAAAGGCCACTATACCTGTTGCTACATTGATCACAAAAAGGCTACCTGTATCCACATGGTTTTCCCTTAAAGCAGTTCTCCCTAACCTTCCCATATCTGGTGATGTGGGCTTCAACTCTCAAATTTCCCATACAGGGTAGCTATTGCTGAGAATTCTGGGAGTGAAATCCAGATCTCTGAATGGTGCTCAGTATGCTTTTAAGGATACCACATTTTAGAATGGATTTATTTTTCTTGTTGGTTTGCTGCCTGACCTCATTACTAATGTGATGGGATAAAGTAATAGATATCTTAAGCAAGAACATGTGGGTTTGACTTAGTGTGTTGTGTTAAGCCAGTCAATTATGGGTTTCTTCAGTAAAGTATGATTACAACATATGGTGTAACTATGAATCTTATTGCCATTCCATGTGATGATGGCTGCAAATGTAGACACTTTGAAAAGGAGACTAGATACGTTTTCAGAAGAAAATATGTCATGGAATCAATTTACTATCCCCTGAATCTTGTCAGAGCCAGTTTGGTGTAGTGGTTAAGGTAGAACCTAGGAGATCATAAGTTCTAGTCCTGCCTTAGGCACAAAGACAGCTGGATGATCTTGGGCTGGCTATCTCAGTATTATGAAGGAAGCAATGGCAAACTTCTGAAAATCTTGTGAAGAAAATTTATCCATCCAAACACTGGGTGTCAAAACTCAAAGGCCACCCCCCCTCCCCAAATCACAAGTGGCCTGACTTAAGTACCAGTTGCTGGGGAGTGATAACGAAAGATGACTATCACTAAGTCAGCGGTTCTCAACCTATGGGTTGTAACCCCATTTGGGGTCGATCGACCATTTCACGGGGGTTGCCAAGCAAGGCTGTCCACCATTTTTTCCCCTTTTCCGGCGGGTGCCTTACCTCCCTTGAGCTGGGCCAGCTGGTGGTCGGCCTGCTCCGTCTCTGCCGTTTGCCAGCTACACCTCAGCCGGCGCAGGGGGCGGAACCACGCATGCGCGGCGCTCCTGGGCAGGGAAAGTCCTCGACTTACGACCGGTTTAGTCCTCGACTTATGACCGGTTGGGGGTCGCGGCATTAAAAAGGTTGAGAACCACTGCTCTAAGTTCTGCTTGTGAACTTACTAAAGGAACCAGGATGGGCAGTCTACAAACACAATGCAGGAACTTCTTAACCATTCATGATTTAATATAATGTATGAGAAGGGACTCCCACTGTCCATCTGCAATTTTTAAGGACCCACCATTGAGCAGCTCACATGCTAAACTCCCAGGTGATGAAGATCCAAGACTGCAGATTTCAAGCATCAATCTTGTAATGAAAAAGTTGCAAATTTGTCCCTATAAACAAATCAATGGCTAAGGGAATATTCTTTAAGATCTTCAGCCATTAATTCATTCTATAGAAATGAGATGGAAGGAGTCCCATCTTAAAAGGTGAAACATACTTAATATGTTTAAGTACAACTGATCTCAATGGAATATTATTTTTCATATTTACTGGACACTACAGAATTCGTTGCCAACTTCATTATGCTGGAAATTAAAAAGGCGAAAGACATTTATATAATTTGGCTTAATATCTGTAAATTTGCAGATCAATACAGGTATCAATATATTTTCAAGATATATATTTTTTTGATTATATACCAAATATTTGAAATTAACAAACAGCTGTTTGATTTCTGCTTACGGATTAAATCTTTATGCAATAGGCCAGTGATGGCGAACCTTTTAGAGACCGAGTGCCCAAACTGCAACCCCAAACCCACTTATGTATGGTTGGGTGCCGGGTGGGCGTGGCCCATTGGCTGGGCGTGGCTGCTGTGGTAACGGCAGACTGGGTGGGACTAAAAAGTTCAATCAATTCCAACTTCGTGAGATCTTTTTTTTCCTGCGAGAAGTTGAAATTGATTGATTGAACCTTTTTTTTTTTTGCACACGGCGGCGGAGGCCTAAAGCGAAAAGGTTTTATAAAACCCAGCTGAAGGCCTAGGACTGGGGTAACAGCGTGCGTGTCCACAGAGAGGGCTCTGCGTGCCACACGTGCCATAGGTTCGCCACCACGGCAATAGGCTAATCAATATTATTCTACATGGTTAAGATTTAATAGCATTTAAAAATAAGCTAGATGATTTCCTATATGTGACTTCCTTTTTCTCTTTTGTCTTTATGCTTTTTCTTTTTTCCCTCTGTCCTTTAAAAAAAAAAGCCGACTAAAAGACTTCTTTAATCCTGCAGCAGAAGTATTTTAACAATTTAGTGGCAGAATTCCAATTCAGTAACTGAATGCTATTCAGCGAGTTTGCCAAATAGCTTCTTGTATTGGCTGGGAGAATTCCAGAATGCTCCCTGAATTTCATAGTCCTCCATTAAAGTACACCTCAAATTATTTCATGATAAATATTAGACAACAAAATAAAGCTAAAGAAATTGGAATCAAAACCGGATGGTTAATTACAACCTTTCTCTTTGCAAAATAAAACTGGAAGTAATCAGACAGTACCAAAATGTATTAATTTGGGGTAGATTTATTTGATTTTTTAAAGATACTACATAGTCAAACAGGATTGGTCTTTTTTTTTTAACAGCATAGAACTAATTCCTACTAATTTTTTCCCCTACATAGACTTATTTTATATACAAAAACAGTTTTTTGACCGCTGTCTTCCCCAATGTTTAGATGATCAAAACTGAGAATTATGTGGTGCCCTAAGTGTTGGGCGGCAGAAGAATTCTTCACCACTACAGCAATATAAAGGAAAAATTAGTCCCATTCATCAACTCTGAACAGGTGCCTTTTTCTTTCTTTCTTTTTGTAACCGTTTATAGCAGTAGTCAAATTTCCATGACAATGAAGAAAACATGAGATGAAATACATTAAATAAGTTAAATATGCATACACATCGGGATATAAGAGTTTAACTTGGCGGCATGAACCAACAGCAATGGTAGCTTGGTCCCCTTTTAGAAGAACAAGGCATTGATCCTTATTCTATATAATCTGACATGCAGTTAACTGCCCAGCATTTTCAACCTCGCAGTGGTGGGATTACATCTGCTTCTTCTAAGCCTTTCATGGTTTCTTGGTAAATTCACCAAACAAGACTTACCAATGCTGTGTGTCCAAACATGTCCTTCTACAGACAGAACAGTTAGGTGGCCCGGAATCAGGAAGTCTACCGATAGGCAATTGTCCCCAGATCCTTGGCTTTTTCAGCACCGTTGCACCACTGCCTCCCCATATGCCACACTAATAAAAATTCAGCTACTGAATCAGCTGACAGGCACGAAGAGGATGCATATGGTTTCACTTTCTATCTGGGCCGCTGAGAAGAAAGCAGCAAAAGCTAAGTTATATTAGTGAAGGGCACGCATAAAACAAGCCTTGTTATCTCCAGAGGATCGCCCATTGTTCTTGGGTTCAGGATGGAGACTGATTTGAAAGAGCTTCAAAATCGGGATCAATGAAAACAAATGCCAAATTACTTAAAGGGACGGAAGGCTTGCGCACACCTAATGTTGTGTATGGTTAAGGCCCATGAAAATTTGCTATGGCTGCAAATACTGAAGAGGCAAGGATCTCTGGAGGATGGGACAAACAGGATGCAAAATTTAAAAAAAGAAGAGAGATTAGAAGGCAGAAGTATATGGTCCCCATTAACACTCACATCTGGATCAGAAAACAGATGGTCAAAAGGAATTTAACTGATCAGATTAACTGCAAGAGAGGAAGGGTGGGGTTCTAAGTGCAATAGCCCCATATAATGCTCCCTCTTACTGCAAAGCCAGTCTGAATAAGTGCCACTCCCCCAATTCAGCTTGGAGCACTTTAGCGCAACATATTGTCTGAAGAAGACCAGGAATTGGGTACCCTACATTTTCAAACCCACAGTAAACTATTTTATTTCCTTCCCTACTACTAAAAAGAACTGTAAGTGTGCAACTGAGCCCCTCCATTTCCATTTCTCCTGATTCCCACTCCCAGACATAGTTAAAACATCCAAAAGCTTTTGGTGATGCCCAAGCTATACACAGACTGGCAGGAACCAAGTGCAGCAGTGTTGTCAATTCAGAAGTCCCGATTCCATTCCTGGCCCATGAATCTGTCCTGAGTCGTCCTCTCTTCCTTTTCTTTGTTCTACTCCACCACAACTGCACAGGATGACGTAGGAGCTAGAGAAAGACGGCCATGCTTATATAGTTCATAATGGAATCAACACCTGATTAATGAGATACACTGCTGAGATTTGGAGACCAGACCAGACCCATTGGGCAGAACCATTAGATTTATGGAGGAGGCAGGATGGGTTAGGTATATTTTACAGAAAACCATCCACCTTGGCAACTTAAGCCAACTTCTAAAGAACAAAACAGATCAGCTCCTTCAAAGGACGGGCATTTATTTCTCCAAAGGGGAGAACTCTAGGAATAGATTTCAAAGTCCAAGAAATGCTTAAGGTACTTTTTTTTTTTTTTAAAAAATGCACTTTCATAGTGTTAAATACATGATTCCTTCCTCTCGTCTCACAATCAAGATAATTCCTTCTCTCTTCTGCTTATTCTGTATACAGTTTAAACGTTCTAGTAGATTATGTTATGCTAATGTTATTTTGTGCAGGGGTAAAAATTTTAAAAGGCAAGACCTGTGAGATGTCATACACTTTTTTTTTAAAACATTTGTTACGAATAAATTTAATCCAATGATATGGCAAATCCATCAATTTGATTTACAGCTCTCTGCATGCTGCCTCTACAAGGCGATTTTCCCTATAATTACGCCAACAATAAAGAACAAAACCACCAGCGCAAGTAGTCTTGTGCTGAGACCCTCCTCCTTCACAGCGGTGGCGGAAGCATAGCTTGGATGGTTTGATTGGGGTGCCTTCCTCATCCTCAGTCCATCTTCTTCCTGTTGCAAAGTTAATTTGAAGTTTCTTTTTTAAAACAATAAAAATAATTGTGCTTTGAAGTTTATTCTTATTTAGGTTAAGATGTCAATCAATGCCTGCCCAACATCCTATGCGGCTCTCCCAATATCAAATCTTTTGTGCTTCGGTCTTTTAAACACATTTTTAAAAACTTATAAAAAGCAGTAAGAAAGCAACTTGCAATTTGGGGGTGTCTGAAATGTAGCCTGACTCACCCTCTGCTGGCTGGCTAACTGCCTCACTCATCCCAAAGGAGACTGAATTCCTGATGCACTGAAATATGTGCAAAACAGACTGAGATCAAGAGTTCCTTTACTAAACAGAAGAAACTGGTGACTTATTTGGGGGGAAAAAAGGAAATGACTGGAATCACCAGGAAAGGAACTGAAACTGTCAAGGTAACACTCTTATATAGATATATGGCTAGTATTAATTGGGAGTTCTGTGTAGGGTAGCAGTTGCTTCCTTGTAAGAAGAATATTATACAGGTAGAAAAGATGTATAAAAGGCCTAGCAAAATGATTCAAGGGCTACAGTTGCATTCACACAAGGGTAACACTTTAGCTTTCAACATGGGAAGGTAGCTTTCAACATGGGAAGGGGAGACCCACGAGAAGCACATGCAATCAGGCAGCGAAGTGAAAACGTAGAGAAGGCAAGGATCTTCTCCCTTTCTTGTAGAACTTGAAACAGAAAGGTTTAAGACCAATGGAAGGAAATACACACAGGACATTAAGAATGGAAATTGCTATCAGCAGTCCTAAGATTGGCATCCAATATAAATAATTTTAAAAGAAGACTGGACTAGCTGTTAATACCTACTGAATGTGATGGCAGTTTCCTACCTTTTGAATTATTGGCCACAGACCCTCAGTACTGGCTGCTAGGAAATTCCAGTGAAAAGGATCTCTTGCCCTATGTCCTAGGTTTGTAAGCTTCCACAATCATCTCGTTGGCCACTGGGTGATCCAGAATGCTGGGCTAGTTGGGCTTAGGGCTCAACCCCCACAGGGCTGTTCCATGTCCATAACTGTGGCATTTTGGTTGGTCATCAGGGATTTAATAGGTATGGCTTCTGAGCTTATACAGAATTTTACTCATTATGTTGCAGAGTGCAACCATTTGGGAAGGATGGAGCTCTACACTCCTGGTGCACTGCCTGTTCCTTCATGGGGCTTCATCCGATGCTTTTATTATTTAAGCCTTATACACAAACTCTTGAATTAGGGGATGACCTGTATGGATTTACAAATGGTTGTCCCTCAAGTCTGTTTTTCCAAGCAAAACTTCAACCATACCAGATATAACCAAAGTTGCTAAATCTGCAACAGAATTTTAATAGGGAATAGTTTAATCCCCATTTTTTTAAAACACTGTCACAAATTTTTAAACTAAAAGATTATGTTGCTTTTATCTGCATAGCCATAAAAAGTGAAGGGAATACATTTAAGTATCACTGTTTTCATTTACTCAGTTTCTCTTCTGTTCAACAGAACTGTTGTTAGATCAATTCAAAATCCTACTCATTTGGTTGGCTCAGCACACTTGTCCTTAATTAACTCAAGAAAAATAGTAGATCATTTTCACACAGCAGGCTGAACCATAAGCTAACCACGTGGAGTGGGTCATTCACCAAAAAGGTGGTTGGGCAAGGTGTGGCTCAGCATCAAGTGAACAAAACCAGTGTAGCTTCTTAATTTCTGATTTAATATGAAGACTGTGATTTATTTAAAAAGGGGGGGGGTGTTTTGGAACTCTGAACAAATCAATCATTATAGATTATTATACAAACTGTGATTAAAAACAATGAATGAATTGTGAAGAATAAATAATGCCATGTTATGTCCATGTATAGTCCAGCTGTTAAGTTTTGGGAAAAAACTCATCTCTGGGTGTTTCCAAATCTCTTGACTACATAGGCAACAGATGAATAAGTTTACCTTAAATTGTTTATTCTCCTCTCGTAACCTTTGAACTTCTAACTGCAGTCTCTTACATTCGTCCATTACTTTCTTCAATTCACTGTCATCTGAAGAACTTAATGATTTTGACATTACAGAAGATTCTGTCTTTAATGCAACTGGGGATATAATTTTATTTATTTCTATATCATGCTGTTGAGAGAATGGGGAAAAAAGAGTTATTTAATGGCAATTAATAATTATTCTATCTATTGTAATTTTAGCATGCAGAGGGGGCCTAACAAAATAATTAAAGAACAGGCCATACAAAATCAATGCTACAATAATATTTAGTATTACAGTTCCAACTGAAGTTCTAAAAAATCTTAGCAAAGCCCAAGATAGAAAACCAAGAAAGGTGAGTGGACCACCTTGAAACAGCCTAATTAGAAAGCTGTTTTTGCATCCTGGAAACTGTACCTAAATGCCAGTGGTCTGGTGTGAAGAGTTTCCCCCAATAAATTCATGCACACAGAGTTCCGCAAGAAGAGATGTTTTCTTATATACCTTTGGCCTAGCCCAGGGGTAGGCAACCTTGGCTCTTTTATGACTCGTGGACTTCAACTCCCAGAATTCCTGAGCCAGCCATTATATGATTCTGCTATATCATTCTGAAAAAGTAGCCAGGAATATACCAGAAGCCAATAAAGCTATGTGTCCTGGTAGGCATGTTGGGAGTTATAGTTAAACAACATCAGAGAAGACTCAAAGTCTTCCCAACCATACTTAGAACTTACTGTGGATGTAACCGTTGTCTAGCAATGTTTTAAAGCAGGGGTCCCTAACCCCTGGTCCATGGACCGGTACTGGGCCGCGGCATGCCAGTAACCGGGTCGCACAAATAAGCAAAGCCCCATCAGTGAGATGCAGGCAGCACGCAAAACCACGCTCTGCGGAAAAATCTCTCTCCACATAACCAATCCCTGATGCCCAAAAGGTTGGGGATCTCTGTTTTAAAAGACTGGTAGTTCCGAAAACATTTGCCTTAAAATGTTTGGTAAATTAAAATACTTTTTGCCATTTCTCATTGCTGCCTCAAACTCATGGTTGGGCTTAAGTTATTAGCCTATAAAACAAGTCATTCCTTTCAGAGTTATGGGGAGTTGTTTTTGAATGGGCCATCACTCACAAGTGGAGCGGCTGTTTTTTTGGAATCAAATTCTAATGTTGACAGAAGCCAAGATATTTTGCTCCGGTGTTTCCCAAGGGCAGGAGAAGCACCAAAGGAAGGGCCACTGTTCAGAACAGCTCTGAGCCGGTGCTCTCTAGTCACCCACCCACTCCTCCATAAAATCTCTAGTGTGACCTATAGTACTATTCTTCCTCAATGAAACTAGGTTACATTTTGACATACTGAAACAGATAATGGAAACTAAAATGTTGCTGTTACTTGCTGTAAGCCATTAAGTTATAAAAGTTTAAATTTATGCAAGTCATTGTTTTGTCATTCAATGTTTAGAGAGATCAGAAAAAAGAAAGCAATCAATGTTTCTCTTTTTTTCCTATGCCAGCCTTCTCAACTGTTATCCTCCAAACGTGCTGGAATTGTAGTTCCAAGACTGCTGGCTAGGAGTTTCTGGAGACGTATTCCTAAATCCAATTAGAAAAAGGTCTACACAGAATCAGTTTCCATCTCTGCACGATTTTGTACTTTTATATTCAGGATAAGGGAAGCCTGAACATTAATTCAATGTAGTTTTCCAGGTATGCACTATTCTAAAAATGTAAGGCAGAGATTGCAATATATACAGCCCTACCTTACAGTTTTGAAAGCTATGAGCGCATATACGCTATGATTCCATCCAAATGGAGAGATTAGACTGTGATACTGGGAGAACACCAGTCTTTTTAAAAAAATAATGCTGAAAATTAAGGATCTGTTCCCAATTTGTATATTAAAAAAGTTTCTACATCCTTCTTTAATCCAAAAGCATTTACAAACTGCAGCTGGCAAACACCAGAATAAAGGGATACGGTCTTTTTTAATGTGGTCTTCTCCAACCTCCTGTTTCAGTTGAGGTTCTAATTCCCAGTTAGTCTGCCCAAAAGTAATTATATTCCAATTTATCTGAAGGGTTCCAGGCTGAATTCCTTAAAGTCAAAATACTGAAACTGTATTTTGAACAGATGCCTTGCTTCTTTCTATTCTTACTACTAGAAACTCTTTACTACCGTGAGAATTAATCATGTATATTTTAGGAATCAAAATCCAATGAAGGAAAACAAACAAATGGTGATTGTTTTGTTTTCTTATTTTGAGCAATTATGAATATTGAGACCATGGAAATTGCAGCTAAATCCTAAATCAAAAACTTTTAATTGCGTTACCATTTCTTTCTCACTTTTTTTTTAAAAAAAAAAATCACATAAAAATTAAAGCGACTCACAGGTTTATCATTTTCTGCTGGCAGCTCAAACACACATTTAAGTTTAGAATCCATGAGTTCTTCTGGTTTTGCTTCTTTCCACTACAGCACAAATAGAAGTAACAAAGTTATTAAAAAAACATTTGGGTTTATATTAAACTATTTATACTATTGATGAGACTATAACCCACTGAGTGGCTCTTTGATTGCACTGAGTAAATAAATACATCTGGAAGATAGATTTTTTTCTCCCTCATAGCTACAGATTTTATGTTTTTGTTTAGAAGTGAGCATCACCAATGTCCCTCAGTATTCTCCAAATGGAATGCAATATTTTATTTCATAGACAGTTTGAATATTTGTGATGGTGTATGTTTATTATATTATTTTTCCTTCAACCTCAGAAAGGATACTTATTTGCCTGACCCTCTGAGCCAAATTATACACAGGTGGTCCTCATTTAACAATCACTCATTCAGTGACAGTCTGAACTTATGATGGTGCTGAATAACTGGTACTTGCGACCGATAATTTGTACTTGTTTTGGTCATAGTGTCCTGCAGTAGTCATTTGCAACTTTCTTTGCTGGGATCCTACTAATGTCAATGGGGAAGCTGGCAGAGGATCAAATATTACAAACATGTAACATCCTCATTTAATGATCTATGGTGATTTCTTTAACAGCAGTAAATGGAAATGGCTGGAAGTTCTACTGCTAAGCGGCGCAGTCATGGGATGTGACATTTTATGACTGTGACACTTACCAATAGAAATTCCAGGCAAAATTATTAACGAGGACTGCCTATGTTGGAATAAATAGGCATAAAGTCAGGTAGGCTCTGAGAATGTATAAGAGGACAGTCACCAAACATTCTGTCTGGGGCGGCAGATAGAAAACCACTCTGTTTCCTAACTTTAACGCTGGATAGATGGGAAGGGAGAATGCAAGCAATATCAGGGAATCCAACCATTTCATCAGCATTCAGTTTGGAAGGAGACTGAAGATTGTTTGGCAGCTGAATGGCTATTGAAACTTGTCTGTGTAATTCAACTGGATCATTTGCCTGCCTATAAACATGGGATGCACATGTTGTTTAATATGCTTCAGAAAACGGCTAATCACAAACTTTTAAAGAGAAAAGATGTTTATTAAAAAGCTTCTAATACTCACTACTGCTTCCATGTCTGAAGTATCAGGCGGTGCAAACATCGACTGGACCATGAACTTATGTTTACTTTTCTCATTAGGATCATAATCAAAAGGTTGTAGCATCACTGAAAGAGAAATCATTGCTGCATCAGGACACTTGCACAGTTATTGTTGCTGGCCCAGCATAGTTATTGTCTTTCCTGGAAAGCTGAGAAAAATCTTATGTACCAAAATGATTTCCCAAATGGATCACTATATCAATGCTTTGTTATTCTCCCAACTCTCTTAGCTTTGCTAGCATTGTAAGCCAGTCAGGGCAGTGTAACATGGTACACCTACTACTTGCCCACTAAAATAGATGATTCAGCAGATGTAGCACAACTGAGTCATGCAAAGCAATGATGCAGCACAGAACTGGATATAATGCAATCAGACCTAAGGATACTGCATGCCTTACCAAACTCCTAGGCATTTCCAAAAAGTACATCCCAAAAGCATCTCAAATTGCTATGGACTTGATCTATTGTCTTACACACAATACTGTGGTAGATTCTTCAATACAAATACAGTACATCTAGTAAATGAACAGCGTGTAACAATGATCTGGAAATTTCAGAAGATTTTATACCATATATGTTAATAGTTTTCTAATTTAATATTTGTTAAATTTTCTCAAAGATCTCAAGGAAACACACACAAATCATTTCTTTGTCTAATCTTTCTGCAAACCATCCTGTGAGATAGGCTGGGCTGAGAGAAGGAAAAAGAAGCTGACTGAGAGACTGACAACATAGCCTAAGAGAAGCTGTGGCCCAAATTCACCCTATGTGTTTCTATAACTGATGGTGCCCATAAGCCTGTGGCTCCCTAGTTTCCTAATCGTAGCTAGTTCTAACCGTAAAGAACATGTGTGACTGAGGACTGATCTGTTAGGTTCTTGGTGTTCCCCGAACTTGTTTTTTCCCCTCCTCCAGACATTTCATAAGCAGGATAAGTAACATCATCAATGTACTGGTAATGAAATATCAGCAGGAAAGCAGCCAAGCTCAGAGAATATCAAGAATTCAACACCCGAAGTAGTAAATATTGTTTTAGACAGCTAATTTAGAGAACAATTAGTGGATAAACTTTCTTGAAAGATTTTGTTCCAAAATATTTCATTCTTAGATCATATTATACTGTAGAACAGGAATTTCTACACATCCTAGGTCACGAGAAGAACTCCTTAGATAAGGAGCTATATAAAACACAGACAGCTTTAGGTTTGCTTGTTCATTTACCAAAGCTTATATGCTAATCCAATTACGCAGTATTTTGAGCAGCCACCATTCTCCAATTCAGTAACTCAATTGAAACATAAAACAAGTTAATTATATCAAAGCACCTAGAAACAGTCTCCAGTAACAAACATACACTGACAAATTCCTGAAGTACGAGAAAATAAACTTGAATCAAAGATGGCCATACATGAGTGATCATGAAAAAGTTTCCCTCCTGATCAGGAATGGTTGCAACTGTGTAGATATAATTGTGCATATGCCCCCTCCCCCTGCCAATATTTGCTCTTCAAGGAGCTATGAATCCAGGAAGACCTAAAATTATGAACCGGTTCTGCACAGGGGAGTCTGCTTCTGAACCCACAGCTGCTCTGTCTTATTAAACTGAAATTGAGTTTGCACTTCCTACCTTAACAACATGCATATAGCAGCATCCAATATTTGGATGACATAGAAAGCTTTGAAAGAAATCTAAAGGGAAGATACTGGTTAGGTTGCTGGCTGTGGAATTCTGGGAGTTGAAGTCCACATGCCTTAAAATTGTCAAGGTTGGGAAACACTGATCTATAAGGCCCTATTTGACACAGGATCATGTTTTCAGGACCGCCTCCTCCCATATGAGGTGTCTCACAAGCTCTAACACAGTGTTTCTCAACCTTGACAATTTTAAGGCATGTGGACTTCAACTCCCAGAATTCCACAGCCAGCAATGCTGGCTGTGGAATTCTGGGAGTTGAAGTCCACATGCCTTAAAATTGTCAAGGTTGAGAAACACTGCACAGGATATAGATACTCTGGGGTCCTTTCTTGAAGCAATGCCATCTGATGGGACATAAAGACGCCATGTCTTTTCGCTTGTGGCACTTGCCATTAAGATGTGCCCCCACACTTTTGGACATTTAGAAAGGTATGAAAAAACCTGGTGGGTTTTGGGGTATTGGGTCACTGGATGGCTGGAATTCTTATTAGGAAGAGGACATCCCAATCATGTACTATTGCTGTTATTTTTTTCCAATATTTCTTTTTAATATGCCTGACAGCTTGCTTTTACTCTTTTTAGTATCTAACCTTTCAATATTTAATAGAATTGCAACTGTCCATAAATTGATTTTTTTTTTAAAATACCTGCATCATCCTGTATTGTAATCTCAGCTTTTAAAATAAACTACAACTGAGAAAGTCATGCACTGAATTGGTGAAAGAAAAAACTTGGAAAGTCTGAAAATTTATCAACAGAACCAGAACTCTTACTAGAAGCTTACAATTTTGTTACATCGAAGGAACATGCAGTAATGCTGCTATAAACAGCAAAGAGAATTCATCATAAAAGTTGTAAACAGCATCTGCCTGTTCTCCTTACTGGAGGTACAAATAGACTCTGTTGCCAGGAAAAAAGACAACTTTCACACACATGAAAAATCAGCTGATTTTTTTCAGCTATGAGTCAGTTAAAATGTTTAAAAACACAATGTGTCCAATCTTACTTGTTTAAAGATATAAACATTAAAGTAACTTCTCTCAATCGAGGTTCTGTGAAAAGCTGCTAATGGTGCCATAAGAGATTGTACAAACAGTCCTCGACTTATGAACATATCTGACCCCAAAATTTCCATTGCCAAGCAACACAATTGTTAAGTTCAGTTCTGCCCATTTTACGATCCTTCTTGCCACAGTTAAGTGAATCACTGCACTTAATACATGGATGGTAAGTGAATCAGGATTCCCCATTGACTTTGCTTGACAGAAGGTTGAAAAAGATGATCACGTGACCCTGGGATACTGCGATCGTCATAAATACATACTGGTTGCTAAGCATCCAAATTTAGATCATATGACCGTGAAGATACTAGAATGGTTGTAAGTGTGAAAAATGGTAATAGGTCACTTTTATCAGTGCTGTTGTAACTTTGAACAATCACTAAACAAATGGTTGTAAGTTGAGGACTACCTGTAATTAAAAAAAAAGAAACTAGATTTTTTAAAAGAACTTTGTGCACTGCGTAATGCTACCACTCGCCATGTTGGGAATTTTTACTTGGCCTCCACAATGAGGACCAACATTTCTGTTTCTAAGGCAGGCAGTTGTTAAGTGAATTACACCTGATTTTATGACCTTTTTGCCATGGTTATTAAACGAATCGCTGCACTTGATTCAGATCATGTGGTCATGAAGCAAATCTGGCTTTCCCCATTTGTCTGTCAGAAGCCAGCTGAGAAGGTTGCAAATGGCGACCACATGATCCCGGGATACTGCAAGTAGGTAGACCAATTCCACAGGAAAGCTACAACGACTTTTATTGAAATTGGCTATAATAGCAAAATCAATCTGATTGTGTTACAATAGTAATAGTGGATTAAAAATGCCAAATCCAGTCTAAACTTCTGGCTGACTATCCAATTTATAAGACTTGTATGTCATCTGACTCTCTAGGTACCTCACAAAAACCAAAAACATAAAAAATAAAGATAAAAGATGCCAGGTGTGATGAATGAGAGGTCTCTATTCTCATCCTTGCTGAATGTCTGAGAAGAGCTCTTCTTCCTTTTTTACAATTCAGTGAATTCGGGAGGCCGCTGTCTGAGCTACTTCCAAATGTTAAAAAAAATGTTTGTCAGTTTTGCTTAGATATCTATTTTTGCATATTTCTGTCAAGATAAACTTACACTGGGTTTTAGTGTTTATGTGTTCCAAAATACAGATAGGTTCATCTTTGGGGTATATGAGGGTGAAATTCCCCTTTTTTCCCCCCAATGAAGGAACAGAAAGATAACAGTTTCTGTTCCTATCTTGGACCGCAAAATTAAATTACTGCTAATAATGAAAGAAATATTGCAAAGGCCTACTTCGGTGTGGGCAGAAAGGGGAGAAGGGAAGAGAGAAGAACTAGATAAGAAGTTTGCAGGGCAGAGAAAGTTTTGAAGAGTGCAGATATTTCTATAAACTCATAATCAACTTAATATGGAACTCAGCTTTTTACCATTGCAACCTGAGCCCAGACTTCTATGCTGAATGAACCTGAGACCTACTATCAACTTTACAGGTTTGGAAAACACCAGTGGTGACTCATATCGTCTGTGATTTTATAGCAATCCCCAGGGACACCTCCAAGGCTGCAAGGCTCACTTGCACCTACTGTATGCTCTGGAAGTTTCACTGTGGTCATTTTAGCAATGTTGCAGTCAAAGCTCAAGGCCCAGAATGTAGCTTGACAGCTAGAGCAAGAGGTGGCCTCTGCCACAATGCTTGTGAATACGGTAATTTCCCTTGGCTAAAATTTCCTAGCTTAGAGTAGAGGATAAATACTCGATTAAAGAACAGATTTTGAAAATATTTTTAAATGTTCTTGTTAAATATTCCAAAACAACTAACCCTTAAGTAAAGGTAAACTCAAATTCTGAACAAATCCAACTGATTAACAGTAGAAAGAATAAAACAAGCGAAAATTTCAAAGTAAGTAAAATCCATAGCTGCCTCTATTCAATAAAGAATTTTGGTCTCAGTCAAAGCACAAAGCATTTTTTTCCTTTCCTTGTTCAATCATGTCTGATTCTCAGAGACTGTCTGGACAAATCCCTGTAGTTTTCTTAGCAAAATTGTTTAAGAAGTGGTTGCCATTGCTTCCTTCCTAGGGTTGAGACAGAGTAACTGGCTCAAGGTCACCCACCTAATGCAAGAATATTGAGTGAACACTGAAAGTTGAACAAGAGTAAATATCTATTCTCTAAGTGGGACTGGCCGGTTGACACCATGAACCGAACTCTTCCATTCCGTAATATGTTCTTATACATACTAGTTGTGTTCTGTTTTTCTTTGGCACCCCAAACTTCTGACCAAACCCTCTCTTTTAGGTATTTGTGAATTGATCACATACTTCCTCTTAGGCTTGATCTTCCCTTCTGTTAACCTCTCTTCCTGTGATGGAAATCCTAATAAATCCACTATAGCTGAAGCCAAACTGACCTTCTGCCCAGTCTCTGCCATTCTTTGTCAATGCTTGAGACTGCAGGACCCCACCCTTCCCTGCCAGTGCATTAGGGGAAAATGAGAAGAGATGATTATAGGAACAACAGCATAGTAAAATACTGTGAAAGGAGAAAAATAGCTGAGTTAAGCAGTTCTGTGATGAATCACAAGAACAGGCAAGGAAATGCTGATGAGGCCATACAGAACACACTAGCCATTTCTTAAAAAGTGAAGTCTGTACTACACAAGGAACTTCAGAATACTGAAGATAGAAATTCCTTCTTTAGCAAATGGCATTTTATTAAGGAAAACTTCACTGTTTCATTGCACATTGAATAGATGTGCTTAACTATAATATCCAAATACCAAGCTACCATAGTTCCTGTCTGTGGTGACTACGGATACCCAGAATGCTATCCCTATTACAGATGGACCTCAAGCTCTTTGTTAATAGATGAGGTTGTGTAAAATTCTTAAAATCAGGGAACAGGTTACCATAATCAAGTGCCCTTTGCTCCTTAATGCTCACCAGGAGTTTTAAGATAATAATTTTCCCACTAAGCTTAAATCTTATATAATTATGGTTGTAATGATACAAATTGCAGTTAGAAAACCAATAGAAGAGAATATTTATAGCTCAGGGTTGAACTCTGGGATCCTTGATGCTCACCAAGATTGATCGTTTTCTTACAGACATTTCATTACCAAACTAGGTAACATCATCAGTGCAGGTTAGAAAAACTGGCCAGAATTTCCACTTTAATTCTAAATCTCAAGTCATTGTCTCACATCATTCCCTCCCACTAAGCAATTAGCAACAGTATAAATACAAAAAAGTTCACTTAAAGCAATTCACTGCACAAGTGCTCTGGATATCTCTTTAGGAATAGTCCCTTTAGAGCAGGGTGTCAAACTGAATTTCATTGAGGGCTGCATCAGCATTGCGGTTGCCCTCGGGGTGTGTATGTGTGGCCAGGGTGGGTGCAGCCTACTGGGTGGGCGTGGATGGAGTGGGTGTGGCCTACTGGGTGGGCATGGCCAGCTCTACATCGTTCACGTCAAGGGTGCCTGTGGGGGCCTGGGCAAGAGTGTGACAGATCTGAGGGTCTCTGGCAGAAGGGGGTGGGACCAGGGCAAGCGCCAAGGCATGGTCCATTTCTTCATTCCTCACAAAGGGTGACACCTCCCCAGCATGCACCCAGGGGGCAGGGCCAACACGGTAGGGGCTGGTTCCTCGCTGTTTCTAGACGGCCTTGTGGAGCTAAGACTGAATGCGTTTCAACATAGATGGCCACCACAAAATTGTACATTGGCTCCCGGCCAGCCTGGGCCAGGGCCAAGGCAGCGGGGGCCATTCCCTCACTGTTTCCAGGATGGCTTTGCGTGCCACATGAAACCATTTCGCGGGCTGCATCCGGCCCCCGGGCCTTGTGTTTGACATGTCTGCTTTAGAGGGGAAAAAAAGCTGTTTAGCAGTTGGCCTCTTTTAATATCTATGAAACGGATACCATGTTCTGTATTATTATGACAAGCCCTTGAGACACTGGTAACATAGTTATCTGGGACATTTCTGTCCTAAATCTAGGGAAGATGGATTTAGGACGTAGGGAGATAAGAAGACATTCCTGGTAATTTATGAAATCTCACCCTCCTTGAATTTCGTCAAGGCCAAACATTGGCCACCCTTTCCTATCAGGTTGTTAAAATAAAGAAGGGGCGTTGGTCTTACCTGAACGCCTTTTCTCAGTACGGAGACGGAGACTCCACCAATGGGTTTTCTTTGTCTGCCTGCTCTTGAGACCAAGTATCCAAAACTTGTCACGCCCCCTCCTACTGGTAATCCAGTCTTAACGAGGGCGAAGCGTTTGAAGATTGACGAGGCGTTGGCTCTCAGCACCCTAACACAAA